CTTATAGCAATTATTTGTATCAACGCGTTCCTTTCCCTCGTTAATTTTGAACTGAAGCAGGAAATCCTCCACTGCCACGCTTTTTCATATTAATATCCCGAGTGTCCTCCGAAGCTAGATTCATATTCACCCCCTAAGTCACCCCCTCCGTGCTCGTGCTCGTGTACTGGTACTGCTACCGGCACTTTTACGGGATATGGTACAGGCTTAGGTACCGGTACGGCTACTGGCTTTGTCACGTGGACTGGCACAGGTCGTTCTACAGGCACTTTTACGGCGTAGGGCACCGGCTTCTCTACCGGCACAGGTATCGGCTTTTCTACCGGGTACGGCGCCGGTACCGGTACTTTAACGTGAACGGGCACTGGCTTCTCTACGGGCACTCCTACTGGTCGCTCCACGTGAACCTTGACTGGATACGGTACCTTCTTCTCAACTGGATAAGGTACTGGTTTTTCAACCGGAACTGGATACGGTTTAGCTACGTGTACTGGATAAGGTCGTTCAACGGGCACTGTTACCGGATACGGTACCGGCTTCTCCACAGGGAAGGGTTGCGGTACGTGCACTGGAACTTTCACAGTGTACGGCACGGGCTTTTCTACCGGGAACGGCTGCGGTACCGGTACTTTTATTGGATACGGTATCTTCTTCTCGACTGGATACGGTTGGGGAACGTATACTTTGTAAGGTACCGGTCTTTCTACCGGCACGTGAACCGGATAGGGCACCTTCTTCTCAACTGGGTACGGTTGCGGTATGTGAACCGGTACCTTTACCAAAACTTTCACTGGTACCGGGATCTTTTTCTCAACCGGATAGGGTTGTGGTACCGGTACTTTAACTGGATACGGTACTTCCTTCTCTACCGGGTAATGGACCTTCTTCTCGACTGGATAGGGCACCTTCTCCGTTTTCACGATCGTGATCTGCTTGATCTTACCGCCGTCATCGCCGCCGCCACCGCCACCGCCACCGCCGTAACCACCATCGTAACCACCACTAATATCATGACCGCCAATGTCTCCACCGCCGAAATCGTGACCACCTTCAAAGCCGCCACCATAACCGCCATCGTCATGTCCTCCAAAGTCTGCCTCGACGTGACTCAGTCCGCGCTTATCTTGTTTCTTCTCCACGCCTTCGGCATTTTCGATTTCCTTACTCGTAATTCCCTTTTTCTTCTCGCACACGGCCAAGGCCAGCAGCCCCGCAAATAGCGTGAGAAACTGTAATCGATAGAAACGTCACACTGATTACCTCAATTGCTCGCTCATGCAGCATCAATGATCTGTCCCTTGGACCGTGAAAGAATGTCACGCGCGCGCTAAACACAGTTGTTAATGGCCTCGATAATACATTAGCGTGCAGCAGATTATATAAAACATAAGTTTAACCTCAGGCCATTTTTTATTCGTTGAACATAGTTTATCTTTGTAATATCCTTCGCGAAACAATATTAATTTAAATAATTCTATAAATAATTTATTTTGAAAATTAAAATTTATGGTTATTTATGACATTTATTTAAGATGGAATGTTGATGAAGTTTAAAAAGATGATATTAACAAGATGGTTAACGAATTAAACGAAGCTAATTTGCGAATTGTAAGTGCAACTAATTTTGTCTCGATAAAATGAACTCACCAAAATTCTCATCTTTACCAAGATCTCTCTCACGATCTGGTCAATGTCCAGACTTTACTGAATGCTTCCCCCCAAGGTGCTACCGTCTTTATAGCCCACTTTCCCCCGACGTGTATCGAGCGAGCCCCTCTGCACTCTCGCGGAAAAGTGAAACACACGCGTCTGGTGATCGCCCGACGTGCACGGCGCGTTATGGCATTTTTTTTACAAATCCTAGACATACAAGCTACGGTGCTTCCATAATCGCGACCAACGGCGTAGCCACTATGGAAAATTACGGAATACCGGAACTTCCTGTAACAGTAACGTTAAAAAGAATCAAAGCTAGAAAGCTAGGCATTCGTCGAGAACAAAAATGTCTTACAAATACTTTTCAATCGAAAAAAAAAAACGCATAAGAAGAAATGAACGGAAAATTCTACAATGATCTAATAATAATCAACGATATATAATAATTACGAAATTCTGGTACAACTGAGAGAATATTTTGGTCGAAAGAAATTAATGTTTGCCAAGTTTAGATTCTCCAAAGAATGTTTTGACACTTGATAACGATACATAATTTTCCATTTCATTGAGAGTGATTTTTCTACAATTTTTTTTCTACGAAGAGTCCAAGGATATTTCGCCCTGTTCGTAATTCTATTCATCTACGCCATTGGACGCAGAGATGCGTTTCCATTCCTCCCTTACCTGTCATTTCCCTCCTCTTTCCAAGCAGCCAATCTCCCTCCGCGGTTTTCCATCTCGTGGAAGTTTCTCGCTCGTGCGTACCATCCGGCAGGACTCTGCAAAGTAGCCGCCCCCGCCTCCGCATCCGGTCTCCGCGGAAGGACGTGCGGCAAGCCGCGTGTACGAGTTCTCTCGGCCGAGACGAGGAACACGACGACGGACGCCTAACGGTCTCCCCTGCGATCCGAGGGAGAGCGCGAGAGGAAGAATCGGGAACGGTAGAAGGAGAGAAAAGGTGAAAAATGTCCGGTGAGAGGATAGAAGGACGGGGCAAAGAGAAGATGTAGATCCTAGAAACATTGCGCGCCGATTGACCGCGTTTATCGCGCCGTTTCCTTCTCCGGAGCGCCGCGCAGTAAAGTCGCGTCCCGCGACGACTTGCTCCAATTGAGAAATATCGTACTTGACACTAATATGAGAGAAAGAGAGAGAGAGAGAGAGAGAGAGAGAGAGAGAGAGAGAGAGAGGAGGG